TCCGGCCCCGTCAACGAACAGAATACAGGAACGCTATGTAACTTTCCAGCCGGCGTAAATTATCCCAGAGGCATAAAGCTGACTGTCCCTGAGGTCATGAAACGCTCATGGTGACAAAACACTTACTGACCCATAAAATTGTTAGTAGTGGGCTAAGAAACATAAGTATCGGTCAGCAGTGTAGAGCAGGAACAAAATAGTAATCCAGAAACAGTTCTGTATCTAGCAGATATCATATATAGCAGCTAAGAACTACCTAGGGGACAGCCAGGGAAATGTTTAAGCCACCCACTAGTTCCACCTGCTGGAATTAGTTCAAAATCTCACTCTATATAGATCTTTACAGCTACTCCTGTTACTTGCAAATTGCTAAGAGGGTAAACAGAGCTTGTATACAGAGCTCTGTCCTCTCAGAGCTGCATCTTAAAATGAACTGGAAATGATGTTTTATTTAAAGAGAGAGGAAGATTGCTAAAACCAGATGCTAATCCCATGAAAAACTGCAGTGGGCTTTGTAGGACTGGCTGATAAAATGCTTAACTAGACCCGCAGTAAAACTAACAGTTCAAATGAGCCCTGATTATTCGCCTCCCAAACAGCCAGTCCTTCAAGTTATGACTTTTTAAACTAAACCCTGAACGAAAATTCTTAGAGAAGTAAGCATTCATGGTTGGTGTTTTATTCTTTTCTTGTTGTTGGGGTGGGTTTTTTTAAAGTGTTCTAGCAGTACAGGTGCAACAAAAAATAGTGTCATTTATTACAAAAGAAGATAGGCTAGGATATTTTCCCATGGGGTTTAATTTTCCCTTGCTCTCCCTAGTATTCTCATCTGCCTCTTGTCATATGCCTATGAAGGGGTCATCTGTCTCAAAGGCAGCATGTGCCATATGGAAAAACAAGAAAATAGGAGTGAAAGGAAAAGAACAAATTGTTCCATCACCATTCCTACATCCTAGGAAACACGTAGCACTTGGGTAGCTTCTCTACACACCTTCTGAAGTCAGAAAGTTGTCGAGTTGCACCTAAAGCATGCAGTAAATTGTCCTTGTAAGTAACTGCAGCCCATCTGAAAGGACATGACCTCCATGTGGATGCCCCAGAATAACCAAACTGGAGAGTTTCCAGCAAAATACCACTACCAAACTTAGGACCAAGTTGCATTTTCAATCCACAGAAACACTGTTTGATAGCAAGGATGTTGTTATCATATAGTAAAAGGGAGATCAAACTCATTACTATAAAATTGGTCATCAAAAGATTTTTCTGCAAGAAAGTCATAGTGCAATGACTGAAAAAATTACAAGCAATCCAGGCTGCAGGATTCTCACTTAGTCTGACACACTCACGCAACAAAAGCAAAATACAAGAAATGGGAGACAGACTGGTGTCCTGCTCAGGAAAAATCAAGGAAACTTCAGGACTGTGGAGTAGGCATTAGTAAAGAACAAATTCTGCACATTGGCCTTTCAGTATTCATTATACTTCTGCTCGAAATGTGCAATTTTCTGTTAACCTCCAGCAAGTACTATTTATTAGCACAAGCATTATAGTGCTATAAGCTAAGTATTATGACTACTGCACTACCTTTTCAAACAGTCATGTATTTTCAACCTTTAAAGAAAGGTTAGCTTTCAACATAAAACCAGAATGTCTGATGCTAAACAAAAAATATCCTATCTCTGAACAATTTTTCAGGGTGCAAGAGCAGGGTCTTTTAGTGTTGGACATTATAAAATGGATTATGGGGCCATTCCTACATTCAGACATCAGACAATAAACTTCCTTGTGCTCCTCACCAGACATTGCTTGGTGGTGGCTCCTTTTACCATTAATATAGGAAGCACTTTCAAGTCTGTTTCTCTCATACACTTTCATGCCTGCACCTATCCATTCTGTTTCCACAAGAGCAAGAGAGAATGCAGAACTCCTGCAGACGATACCCAAGCAGCTTGGCTCACCTGCTGCCATGGCCATTACTCACTTCTTGTTTGTCGTCTGTAAGTGAACAGTCATTCTGGAATAATTCTTATCCTTTTGCTTTTCTCTGGTGGCAGAGGTAACAGTGAGATCTCCAAAGAGGTCAATCAGCCAAGTCAGTCGGGCAATTCCACTGAAAGCTGGGAATCCTGTTTTGTTTTCATCGAGGACACTACCTAGTGCAACAGCAATAGAAAGTCTTGAGAAATGGGAAAAAGAATAATGTCCTTTGCATAGGAAAGGCTAAAGAAACTGCAGGGTTGAGGGCTTAGAGACCAGGCTGTAGAAAGGCCACGAGTGGATGGACTGATTAGGAAAGTCAAACATGGTCAACTTTGAAACAGATCAGTTGGTGAGCTATAACAGAGAGGGCTGCAAAAAGTACATATACAACAAACTCTTGATGTGTTGTGGACAGCAGGGTGTATGTGGATTCAATAAGGGAATACAGTAGGGAGAAAACAATGGCTCAGAAAACTCTTCCAGCTCTTCTGGGGCCAAACACCAGTACAGAAGACTAAAGGTCCCCACTAGAAATTGCAACATAGCTCATCCTCCTCTCTGAGGCCAATATGAATGAGAAATTGGTCATTACCAATTCTGTACCAAAGTACAGAAGGGATGAAGTGCTCTCTCCTCCATACAACAAGGCATAGGCTTGCATTCTTCACCAGGCAGCAGAAAGAGTTTAGCAAAGCAACAGCCCATAGAAGACAACTGTTAAGGCAACGGTGTTTTCAAGACAGTTCTGTAATTTCATGGAAATATCAGAACTGATATGTGTGTCTAGTCAGTTTATGGACAGACTGTCAACTAAAAGTACTGAATGAAGCCTGGAAGGACTGGCATCCCTGTGGAGCAGGCAGATGAACCCAGATGGACTTTGATTTCCTCACAGCTACTGACCTGTGAAATGCAATGTTCCCTTCACCAGGTCTTTCCCAGCCACCTCTTTTTTCAGCTGCTTGTACTCTTCAGTCAAAAGTTCAATGTGTTCCACATGGAGGACTTTATCTGCCATTAAAAAAAAACACGCAATAAACAAACCAACAAAACCAACAACCAAAAATCAGGACAGATTAAATACAAGCTTTCTGTGTGAATCAAAGGCACATCTAAGCAGTAAAGCCTTCACCAGCCACCAGTGGGAAGTCACTTAGAAACATTCTCATGCATGGCTGGCAAAATGATGTCAGTAAAAAAATCAAACATGGGCCCTGTGCCGAGGCATCAATCTGGGTTAAGGATTTTCAGGAGATAGTAAGTACAGAGACTACACGAACAGTAGCCACTATGTTTAACAGAAATTCTGTAATGAAACCCAATACTCAACTAAGGCTGACACATTAGTTTTCAAAGACAGACTAATTCTTAGCCTTTTTCCCCTCACGTTTCCTTATTCTACATTTTTCCTCCCAGGGTAGTAGGAAAGAAAAAGGAGAGGGGAAAACAGCAGACCCAGGTTATAACAATATGTTAAGTCGTACCTCTGTCCGCTGCAATTAATTGGGCTACTTTGGAACAGAGGCTATCTGATACACATTGAATGTGGCCCTCATTCAGTATGTGCTTTTCTGGAAGGTTTCCAGGAGAGTCAATTTAGGCTGCTGACAGTAACTGCTGCTGCTTCAAGAGAAGAGGCATAAATTCTGCTCAATGGGAAGACATTTGGTGAGCAACAAGGCAGTGAGTGGCAGGGGAAGAGCAAAGCAGAAATCCAATACCTCCGGTGTTTTAGGACAAAAGTCACAATGGAAATTTTTTAAGAAGCAGTGGTATAAATAGTGCAGCTTGTCCAAACAGTTTGCACCCTGCTCCTGCCCAGCACTGTTCATTTCCTTGCAGCCCATAAATCCCCACTGGCCTCAGCTGAACTGCCGGCTTCTGACCACTGGCACTGCAGGAATGGGACCACATGCTTTCCAGAAATAATGAAATTTTTCTCAGAGGCAAGCTGTCTTTCAGACAGGGATGCACTGCTGGCCTACAATAACCATGAGCTGCTGTGTGTGACCAGCACATCACAAATGCTAGAGCATAGAGTAGAGGAGCTATTTCCAATTCTATTTTCAGGCAGAGAGAGAGGGCAGGGAGATGCACAACTCCAATAGCTACACTCATTAATTGCTTACTATCACTGCAACAGAAATTTTCTTCTCTAACTATATTCTTAGTGTCACAAGCAGAAACCAGTGCTTTTGTGAGGGCAAATGTACCTTACTCTTATCATTGACTTTTGTGTGTTTATTTCCTCATTGGTACACATCTTAAATCCTAGACTGACACATCTCTGAGACAGGCATACTCTCTTGTACATCATGATTAATAGTAGACTGCCTTGGAGTTTGATGCATTTGGTGCTACCCAATAGGTAATACTGTTTACATCCTTGAGAACAAATACGTTACCTTTCTGCTCAGCCATCTCCCAGAGCTCATGGGCTGCCTTAGCAGACAAAGCCATGGGGTACTCAACAAGGACATGTTTCCCAGCTTCTAAAAACATTCTGAAAGGGGTACAAGATCAATCTTCAAAAAGTATATCATCATAATAATCTCTCTCCCACACTCAGCCCCATATGGAGAAATGCACAACGTGAAGTAGCAGAAATAAACGGCTACTTTCCCGGCAAGGATGGTGTGGTGACTATATCGCACATTTAAACACCAGGAGAGATGGGTTGTAATTCTCCTTTTTCCACAGGATTCACTCACTCACCTACAGTGAGTCACAAAAATGCCACAGCGTTGAGACACAGAATCACAGAATCGCTCGGTTGGA